AATAGAGAGCTCGCACCCCGCAATTGCAACAAATTTAACGGCACGGCAAAAACTCGCCACACAACGCCATGTGCTAACCTACCATTGCCAACGATATAGCTGGCCGCCGCCAACTCGCAGTGCGGCAGTCGCGGATACTACTCACTACCGGTGAGAACTATGTCGAGTCATAGCGACCACTACAGAATGCACATATACAATTCATACGAGTTTAAGGAGCATAAACCTCTTTAACACAAATTTACTTTTGAAAATTTCACTGCTGACCATGTAGCCTCATACATCCAGGCCATGTATAGATTGCTACTAGCAAACCCGGCAGTCCCAAATTCTTTCTAACAACACAGTCACCCCAACAATCCCATGTAACCCCCTCTTGAGGTAGGGGAGGGGAGGGTAGGTGGAGGGGGTGGGAAGGGTGGGGGGGGACGGGTGGGAGGGGAGAAGGAGGGTGGGGGGAGGGGGGATTCTACATAGCAAAAGCAGTTCAGCCTTTGTTGACAGTGAACAAATCCATTTAAACCCTCCTGCTTGAGGGTCAAAAAAGGTTATCCGACACTTCTCTTCCGCGATGTCAGCAGAACGGTGACATTTCATGGCCTTTCAATAAAGCCCCTAAAAATGCTAGTCAACCTGATAACAAAAAAGTTCCAAGTCGCTCCCGTCCCCAGACCATGTCCTCAGAACAATGTCTAAAATCTGCGCCCTGTCCCATTGGACCTTTGACTGTGACCCCAATTTCCGCAACAGTGATGCTTTTCCTACCATGATCTATACCCGACTAAACACAAGCCTAGGTGGCGGCCGTTAGAATTTGTCGCAATTCTGGCATTTCCTCCCTATACCTTAGAGTTAAGAAGAAACGGGAGAAAAAAAACAGGGAGAAAAGAGGGGAAGGGGGGGCAAGGAAAAGGGAAAAAAAAAAAAGGAAGGAAAAGGGCAAAAAAAGAGAAAAACAATAAAACAAAGAAAGAGTGAATGTTCTGCCCCCTATCTTTTTACACCTCTTGACGTTCTGACCTTTGACGCCCCAGCTTCGAATCCCAACTCGTTTTGACGATCCCCCCCGATGTGCCGCAATCATCGTGACCGTACTCGAGGCGGTTATGATTGTGTGGCCCACCCTGTTGACTCCCGGACGCTACGGACGACTCGGACGACGGACGGACGATCAAGCGATTCTACAAGCTGCATCTGACTATGTCAGATGAGCTAAAAAAACGTCTTTGTATATGGTCACAGCTAGCACTGGAAATTTTCGATAACACAATAATTGTAAATAAACACGAAATGTATTTACTACCAAATTCTCAATGTTTATGTATTCTCTAGACTCTGTCTATCGACCAATAATTAAATTAAAATTCCACGTGAGTGATGTTCAAATGCTCTTTTTTGCAACACGCAATCCCACGCATACTGCTGTGCACAAAAACCACAGAAATATAAAGTTCTCGGTGCTATGCTCTGTATAAATTATAATAGTAATATATTATCTATGAAGGGTTGTGGGGGTAAATAAATTTAATAATAACGTTGATGACACACACATCATGTATAGTTTTGTAAGATTGAAACGTGAAAGGCGATGGTGAGTTAAGAAGCTGCCCTCTAGATTTTGAGCAAAATCAGCCATCAATCATCCCAAAAAATCAGCTAGCTAATAATCCTAAGGTTATAACCAAAAGTTCCTAATGTGATTTTTTGTGTCACCATCATCCCGGTA